CCCCAAGTTTTCTATAAATAATAAAGGATGTTTTAATTAAATGTGATTCATAAAATAAATAAAATACACTTTTAAAAATAATATAAAAATACTTTTATCAATATGAGATGGAATTTTGAAAACAATTAAAAGAGTTTTATTAATATGAGAAGGTTTTTTTTTATTTATAAAAAAATGTGCTTTTAAAATTAATTAAATATGTTTTATAAAGTTATGATGAGTTTTGTGAAATTATAATATTTATTATGTGTTATTTTGGAGAGTACTATATTATTTAATTAAGAGAAGGGATGTGTATATAGGTTGACTCGGGTTAAGTTTTCTAATCCAAGGGTTAAAGAGGTGGCTAGGAAGTTTAAGAAGGGTTAACAATTTTAGTTTTCATTTTACGCTTGTGAAAACTTATACTTTTTTCATCTCTTTCTTTTCTATTAAACATAGAAGCCCTTGAAAATAATGCAAAGGTCATAAGAGATCATCCCCATCTTTTATCAGACATTTATCAAGTTAAGGAGGGAGTGAAAGTTCTCATTCTAAGGTGTGAGTTATTGTTAGGTAGTGAAATTGACCTCCAATCTTGTTGTTTTCATGTTTTGTTATTCTACACGGGGACCTTGGGAGCCATTTATTTTGCTTGTGTTTCCTTGTTGTTCCTATTGCTGTGAATTACGCTTTTTATGTTGTGTTAGATGATACGCATTTGTATATTATAAATTTGTAAGAAAGCTTAAGTTCCTGAAAGAAACCTTTTTTATAAAGTAGTTCAAAGATGGATGTAATTGGGAGAAGTTACTATAATTAATGGATGTTTGAGTAGTTGATATCGTAAAAGAATGGAATTAGGCTTTAATTTGAGGTTTTACCAATTTGATTTGGATTTAAATAATTCCTTTTTAAAAATTAGTGAACTCTGATGACTGACTTTGAAAAAATACTTGAAATACTTAAAGAGGAATGTTAGCAATACACTATCTAACACACTCATCTTAATACACCTACTTTTATTAACTTGAATTTATTGAAAATTACAAAATTATAAACATTAAATAGATGTAAGACTTACCAAAATTTATATTTTTCAATAATTTCAATAAATAAAAAAAAGTGTTTAAAATCATGTATCAAAAGGTGTGTTCCTAGCATTTTTCATGCTTAAATGAAATAAACACACTTTAGTAGAGATTTTGCACATAATGTAAAGACTCGACAAGTCACTACACTTAGTATAACACAGTTCCTATACAGTGGAAATACATAATTTTATTCAACTATTCTTCGGTTTGGATATTTCAAAAATCCAATCCATGAATACCCCTAATAAATCCCTTATGAGTACATACAGAATATACATAAACTATACTATACAAAATAGTGTTATCATTGATTAAGCGTTTATACAATAACCATACTACATTAGTGTAGCATCACCAAAATATAGTCATCACTAGCATGACCTCCACCTGTCAACCAAACCATTCTTTTAATCTTGTCCTACTCCCATATAAAGTATGATTATTGTAGTCAAACTACAAGAAAAAGAAAGGATAATCTTATGAAAGGATCAACATAAACAACTTACAAATATACTTAGCTCAATTGCCATCTCAACATTAAAACATTTCACCACTTATTCATAGCAACAACTAATCATCATGTAATTCTCTCAAAATAGATGATTAACAAATGATAAATAGCTAATCAACTTCAAATACAATTGAACAACTTATACAACTCCAAACACAAAAAAGTAATAACTAACAATTGAGCAATTATTAAACAACCAATAATAACTACTAAGTAATTGAACAACAAATGTGTTGTCACGCATAATAATTAATGAATATCTCCTAAGACTAAGGTGAGCAGTTTAAGTGGCTTAATCTAATTGAATCACAACGGTTGGTATAAAACTAGAAACAACAACTAGTATAAAGCTAGAAAAATGATTGACATAGTGGCCATATTGATTTATTAGGTTTTGCCACTTAAACTAGAAAATTTTAGTACTACTATTATGGTAAAACAACATGGGTGTGAACCTACCACAACCTTAGCATGCATAACTAAGTCTCCTATGTGATTAGTCCACTAACTACAGCTCTAAATACCACACACATTTCTAGTAATCGATTAAGAATTTTAATCCTCGACTTCATACCCTTACTCAATTGGTCACTTTCCCGTATAACTCAAACTAGCTCCCATACAGTCCCACATAAAACCTAGAGGAGACAATTTTAGCATCTTCCCATTCAAGAGCCAACTACTCACTGAAGGCTTTTGACTTTGACCTCTTTGAGCACTACAACTTAAAGCCCTATTAATGAGCTAATTTCATTTTTAAAACAATTTTATTTTCCTCTAACTTTTATGTATCTCAACTAAGACATGTATCACAATACTACATGTTTAAACAACTTAACAACTTACTAAACTCTAGTCAATTATCAACTTAAAACATCATTATACATCATCCTAGATTAATGCGTAATGAATCATAATCATACATCATCATCATATTGTATACCAATAAAGAATACACCGCTATTAATTTCAAAACTTAGACAAATAAACAACAAGTTATTGTTTAACAAACTACGCCCAACACCATTCTCTACACGTCCAACGCTATCAAAGCAAATAGCCTCTGTCTCACCTACATTTGATGCCAAATCACTTGTGCTCAACGTGATGAGACAGAGAACCTAACCTCATTCAGGTAGAGAGCCTCTACCCAACTCACCCCCAATGCCATTAAACTTGCGCTCGATGTTGTCCAGGTAAAGAGTCACTATCTTGGTCACGCCCGACACCTCTCAACTTGGCTTGACATCACCAAGTCAAAGAGCTCCTTGAGCAATCACTTGACGCCTCTCATTACCATACTTGACATGACCAAGTCAAAGAGCTTCATACTGACCTGCACCTAATGCTACCAATCCTACATTCAACATGATCACGACATAGAACCCCTAACATGAGCCATGCCCCGACACCATGAAGATGCGCCCAATGTGATATGATTTTCACACATAATAGAATCACCCAATCAACTTAAACCTACAATTCTTTAGAAAACACCAACATGCAATTCATACTGTTGTATATATACACCATAAATAACTCAAAAACAATATCAATAGCAACATGCAACCATTCATAATCAAATCATTAAGTTCTCCTCAAGACATTACCAAAACTAGAACTTAAGGCACTAATCAACATATCCATATTCAACCTCAAACAACCATCAAAATATATGTATTTCAACATAATTTAGACAATACAATTCAACCAATCATTAATAATAAATTACCCTTTCCTAGTTGGTTCAAAAAGAGAAGAAACCATACAATTCCCAAAATGAGATTCTTAACTCTAGAAGCATATTGAATCTTCAACTTTATCAACTTTGATCAGCAATATGAATGGTGAAGAAGGAGTTAGTGGAAATAGATAAAAGAAAGAATCTCTTCAACTCTAAAATCCCTCTCTTTAATCTCTCTCTATTTTTCTTAAAATATAAACTTGTGAGATTTACATCTTAAGAAAAATCTTATATATCTCTCCTTTAATTAAACAACTTTAACCAAAATAATTGTAGAGACAACCAAATTCTCAATGGCCCCTTAACCTCCAAAGCTCTAAAATAACAGTTACAATAAAATAATAATAATTACAACAAAAATAACAATTAGTGAAATATTTCATATAATTAGTTAATAAACACAAAATCACACACCGCAAGGTGTTACACGTAAGGGAATCAAATCATATGTATTATATAACATTATAGATTATAATTTTACATCTTGAAAAAAATTCAAACTCAAAATTGAAACATTTTTCATTTTATAAATTAGAAATTTACAAATTGAAAATGTAGGATAAATTGAAAGCATTGTAGCCTCTTTCAAACATAGTCATCCCGAAATTCATAAAAGAATCTTTTGTTTGAAGACACACTCTAAAAGTAGAAAAAATAACAATATCGTCACAAACAAAAATCAATAAGAATAATTGAAAAGTTTTATTTATAAAAAATAAAATTAAGGACCTATTTTATTTTGAAAATATTTTCTACTTTTATTTTTGTTTATAAATTATCATCTTTCTGCTTTCGATTTTTGTTACAGAACCCAACTAACTAATTTACTAATATTAAAAAAAAAGTTAATTTTCCTAGTTAAGATCAATAAATATATCTAAAGTTTATATTTCTTTTCAAAACTATCTTTAAATTAATGAGACTTTTAACATTTTGTATTTTAAGAACAACAAAAACGAGACTATTTATATTTTATGAGATATAAATTAACGAATTTTACATAATTTTTGAATTCAAGAAATATATTTAATCTAGTAAACATTTTTGTTTAAAAAAAATAATTCTCTAGATAGTAAATATATATATATATATAATTAGTTAAATTATATTTTTATCCTTTTTTATTTTAGAGTTTAGTTTAGTTTCATTATTTTTAAATAATTCAATTTAATCCTCTAATGTTTATAAAAATGTTCAACATAATTCCTCTGTTCAAATTAATATTAACCATGTTAATAAAATTGGACCAAAAAACAACATTAAACTTAAAAAAAAATTTAGAGAATCAAATTAAATAATTTAAAAGACAATAAGATTAAATTAAATATTAAAACAATAAAAAAATCAAATTAAATAATAATTTATCTATTTTTTTATGTAAATAATTTGAATTTCACATAGTTATTGAATTCAAGAAATATATTTAGTATGGTAAACATTTTTGTAAAAAATATCGGTGCTCTAGAATAAAAAATATTCGTTTTCTATGGGAGGTTTTAGTTTTAATTTAGGGGTAGTCTCGTAGACTCAGCCGCAGGTGATAACTACCGGTGTTTTCAAAAAACGGAGTGATACAGTGACGTTGAAAGTTGAGAAAGAAAGAGTTATTGGCAGCATTCCATAAGAAGCTCCGCTAGCATCTGCGTATAAAATTAACCAAAAAACGGTGCCATATTCGCATTCTTATATTTCATTATTATTATATTATTCTTTCTTTCTCTGCTTGCGGTGCAAAAACCGCATCACACTCTTCCATTTTCTAGGGTTTCGTTTTTGCTCTCAACAATGGCCGCTTCCTCTCTCCTCAGATCCGCGCTCTTCGCACCTTCCTCTTCCGA